TTTTATGTACCACTCTGCTACCAAGGATAATCCCTCAGAAAGGTAGAAATCTTGCTACAGCAATCTCATGTAGAGTTGAAGGCAGAACCACTCTGATGTCCCTGCAAATATACAGTGTGGCACTCATCTTGCCTAAAGATAACCTAACTTTTTGTTATCTTGTTTACTTTACCCAGAAACAAATCCACTATTGCCTTCATTTCTTTTATTCTGTGCCCTGTGTAAAAAGACTAACTTGTTCTTCTTCTGTGTCAATGTGCTATGCTGTTTCAGTGGAAATGTCACCGTTCCCCCCCCCCCTCAGATCAACACATTGCTATTTTCTGTGCCCACACTCAAACTCAACTCCCTTGCCCCAAACACTATATTCTGTTATTTCACACAGACTGCTTCAAAGGGCCTCAAGTGCACCCCCTTTACCAAAGTCTGTTGCGTAACCAGGAAAACTTTGCTCTTGCAAGCCTTTGGAGGAAATCAGTAAATGTGGTTTAACGTTTTGGGGGTTTTCTGCACTGCTGCATTTCACTAATGATCAGGCTGAAGTAGTCTTACTGTTCTTTTATGTTAAACAGGATCTGTTTTCTGTTGGAAATTGTCGTAAGGTCACTAGGTATGGTGGAAGGGCAGTCTAAAAATCTGGCAGAAAATATAAATTTATTATTTTGTCATTGACAGGAAAGTGACCTGCTCAAAATTCAGGTAGCTATGGCTAGGGCACCTTTGCAAGTGTGTCTTGCTTCATGATGACCTGTCCCTGTGCGCCAGGGAGCCCGAACCCCCTAGTTTACTGAAGAATTGAGGGCTATAAAGCCATTGGGGAAGCAGCTAGCACTGAAGTGTTAAAATACTTGCATTGTGCCACAGTGGGCATGTCACTGCAGCAATCTACAGGCCTATGAGGGTGGTTACCATTGCCACCCTACTGTTTTGATGCCTGACTGCTGCTGCAGGCTCTATTGCTATCTCCTGGGTTGACTGTGTTCCTTGAACCTGCTACCTAAACTTGGCTCAGTTTGATCTCCTGACCCTTAGACCTGTTGCATCTCAGCCAATGGCCTGCCCCTCTGATGAATGACACCCAACTGTGCCAAATCTACTCCAGCCACACTCTCACAAAAGCTGTTCACACTTGTAAGGCTGTCATCTATTTTACTTGAATAAATGCAACACAGGCAAAATTCACCACAAGTATTTTCCAGCAATCCATCACAATCTAGAATAAGTTGTACCTGTTGGTTTCGGCATGTTATGCAGCAAAGAGTTTCATGCAGGGGGAAATATGGCAGCCCTATTTGTCCTGGTGTCTGTGGCAGAATTCACATGTACTTGCAGTGGCAAGAGTCACTTCTTCTTGGTGCAATCCATACAGTGTCCCATCCTTGATACACGCTTCCTTCATACACAAATTTGTGGAACTGTGTAAGATCACATCTGGGAAGCGCCGTGAACGGGCTCCGAGACAACTGTTCCACTATAACTCCACTCAGTTAAGCAATCAAATAGTAGCAGTACCTGGAAAAGGCACACATCTCCTGAATTAAGATTCTGAGGTGTACTTATTACATGTGTGAGAGTCTCTAGCCTCAGGCAGGAGTGATGTGCAAGAAAGCTTATCTTCACCAGAAAAGGTCACTCCACCTTAGGAAAGGAATTCTCTTATCCTGCAATAAATCTACAGACAGGTCAAATGAAATACAGTAGTAGCCAGAACCATAAATAACCAATCTTCACTATTGTAGGCATCCACTGGTAATTGTTTTTGCATGACAGATTTCTTTAAATGGATTTAATTTGTCAATCAATTAAACCTACAGCCCTAGTTTTTCTTTTAAAAGGGGGAATACTGAACAGTTGTCCTTGGGGTGGGATAATACTGTAAAGAAACTGTAAAGTTTCTTTCCATGTGTAAAGAGCTGCACAAGTAATGGAGAACAATTATCCAATTGGTAGTTGCTCTTTATTATTCTGATGAATTTAAAAATACAGCACAATGCAGTTTTGTGTCACATTATACAACTTACTTTGATTTCTATTTTTATTTTATTATAAACATTTTAAGCTTGCTATTTTATTTCATTTTTCCAGGCAGGGCCCTTAGGAGTTTTAACAACAGCTGGCCAAGCAGCAATTCTGCTTGTGAAGATGCTGATGTGATGAAGGAAAATCGGGACTTCCGGGTTAGCGCCATCGGCGAATGGCGGAGTTCCTCCGACCGGAGGACCTAGCTCCGTGGAAACTGGGTCTTCCAACCGCGGCGAAGGTGGGGACCCGCTAGAAATCCCAGGCAGAGGAAGCCTGGGAACGTGGGGTTCGGCAGGGCACCTGGAGCGCCCCCCCTACTCACGGGGAACCCCTTTTTGGGATTCTGGAGTGAAGTGGGGTGAGCGGCGCGGTGCTGCGAACTGACTGCTACTTTCACGGAGTGAAGCCGCACAGCCATCGCCGGAGAGCGCTGACTTTTTCCTGTGGGCAATTGGATCTAAAACAAGTACCCGTGAGTAGAAACGGAAAATTGGATCAAGAAATATCTTAATTTGACATCGAAGCAGGAAGGTTCAAAACAGGAAGTCCGCCTTCCGCTTTTTGTATATAAACTGAGGCAAAAACCTTGTAAGCTAAAGCCTGGAAAGTCGTTAAAAAAGCCTAAATTTCCTTCATTTACAACTACTGAAACTCCCTTGGAAGCAGGAGAAAAGGGGGGGGGACTTTGTGTAATGCCTGCAGGAGAGGGAGTGAAGAAAGATAAGTTTCCACTGTCTCTAACCTGGGAACGGGGTGTCAGAGACAGAAATTGTTGGAGAGGTTCATTGACTGTGAATGGAATACTTTGACAGATAGCTAAAGAAGAGAAATAAACTGATTCCAGTGTTGCCTTTTGCATTCTAAAGAAACAAAATATCTGAAAAAATGAAAGTAATTTTCCTTTGTTGGACTTGCCTTAAAAAGATGGATACAAATAGATATTGTCTCCTCTAGAGGGAGCTTGCTAAATTGTTGCTGCAGCCACAGCTGTGAGATTAAGATCGTGGGATTAGTCCTTTTGACCTTGACTATATATGAGCTGGAAGGAAGTTTTGGTGCTTGCTCTATGCAAGACAAGTGCTTTGTTGGAACAGATGCATGAGAAGATGGATTTGATGAATGAGAAAATGGATTTGATGACTGTTGTGGCCAATAACTGTGAACAATTAATGAATAGTGACACAGAAATCATCCAGGGTCCAACTCAGGAACCTGTATTGATTGGGCAAGTGCAGAAGACAATGGAGGAGGCTGCGGTTGCACCTCAAATAATACAAATGGAGAGGCCCAAGGCCCCACAGGAGCATAAGCCGTTGTTTTTGAAGATTGAAGTTGGAGTGGGCCAGGGGGAGTCTGGAGCTGAGGAGGCTTTTAACTTTGGAGAGACTTCAAAATATGTTCGCAAATATTTTTTGGATTATATTGATGACTGTGGGGAGTGGGACTGTGGGGAATGGGCTGATTTGATGAAGGGAGACGGAGATAACTTTGGGTTGGAACCCCCCAGAGACCTACTCCTCAACGAGAAATTAAGAAATTAAGAAAGAGACCAACAAAAGACAAGGAAAAGTGCAAGTATAAACAAGAAGAAGAAGATCTGCAGAAGGGACATGGAAGAGACTTAAGGGCCTCGGACATAAGGCTTCCAGGTTGATGGACTAGATGGAATGGACAGTAAGGACTGACACGACCCGAGACCAGGAAGAAGAGACGTTGGATGAAGATTGGAAGAAAATTTATAAAGAAAACTTTTTATTTAGGGAATTAGCCTAAAATTAATGAATATTAGGGAAAATGTTGGAATGAAACTATATGACTCTAGCAGAAATGATATCAGGGGTTATGTATAAATGAGTATTAAGTTTCAAGCTTTAAGGTATTTTATGGTAAGATAAGGTTAAATAAATTAAGGTAATTTGAATAACAGAATATGGGGAAAGATGGAAAGGATCTGTCGAGTTAATTAATAGGTTAAATTGTTAAGATAAATTATTTAATAAAAACTGAGAAAGATGGAAAGAATTTGCTGAAATAACTAACTAAACTAGAATACAAAAAGGGAGGTGCGAGGAGGTCAACGAAACAAGCAAATGGAAGTTATATGGGATTTGTGTCTTTCTTTTTTTCTTTTTTTCTTTTTTTATATTTTCTTTTTTTATTGTATTGTTGTATTGGTTTCTATGTTTTGCGTTTTTTCTTCTTTTTATGTATTGTAGTGTTGTTTTTTATTTTTTATTTTTTTCTGTAATTCTGAAATTATTAATAAATATGTATTTTTTTTTAAAAAAAAAAAGATGAAGGAAAAGCTACCATACTTCTCTCAAGGGGTCTGCCAAAGGGGGGGGGGAGGGGAAAAAAGAGAGCTGGCTACAGCACTGCTGTTAGCTTTGGCTGCAATAATCATTCAGTTTTAAATGTAGATACCATTGCTAACTTTTACTTTTAGCAAACAATTAATGGTCCAACGATAGACCGCTATGCGCAAAGGAGCGTATTCTGTTGCATCCAAATTCAGGTAAAAATATACACAGAATAGCAAACACTTAAGTCTGAAAACAGACGACCAGTTATAAATCTAACCCGCTATTTCCCTGCGCAGCAATTTAAATTTGCAGTGTAGGCATGGCTCAGAAAATGCGACAGGACCCAAACGCAGAAACAACCCCTCTTTCCTACTTGGTTTGAAGCATATCTGTCTAATAATAATGATGATGATGATGATGGAAGAGTTGACTGGAACTTCTTCTCTCTCCACACTCAAGCAAGCAAACCAACTCGCAACCCAAATTTATTAGGAAGCGCACAAAGCTCAATCCTTGAATATTGTGAGGCGCCCACCCCCCCACTTCTCGTCGTCGGTCTGGGAGGCAGCCGGCAGCACCCACCACCCGGCTGCCCGGTCTCCCGGTCCCGGCGGCCTCTCGGGCCCCGGACTTCCCTGCAGCCTCCGCGGCTCGGCGGAAGCGGCTTTGCCCCGAGTCAGGTGTCGTCGTCGTCGGCAAGGCGAGCCCGCTGGCGGGTTAGAGCAGACGCGGGAGGCGGAGACTAGCAAGCAGGCAGGGGAGGGAGAAGATGGCGGAGGCAGAGTGAGTAGAGAGCTCGGCGTGCCTGCGGCGGGGCGGGCGGAGAGGGAGCGGGACTCGGCCGCGGCGGGGCTGCAGCCGGCGAGCGGGGAGGGTTCTTCGGAGGGGAAGCAGCAGCAGCAGCAGCAGAGGGGGCGGGGGGGCTCCCAAATATCTATATGTCTATCTATACCTAATGGGCAGCTGTAGAGCCTTCCCCGCGCCCCTCCTGCCTCTCCTGGTTTATGGTGACGGAGTTGAGGGGCTCCTGACGCCTGCCAGTCAGAGAGAGACAGACGGTCAGCTTTAGGGGTGATTCTCATGCCACCCCCCGTCTAGACAGCGCTACTTTCGCAAAAGGTGCTTGCTGCTCCTTGCCCTCCTGTCAAGCCGGAGAGAACGACACATGTTTTCGTAGAGAGAGTTGTAGGGTTGGGAGGGGGGACCCCCAAGGGTCATCTAGTCCAGCCCCCTGCAAGCAGCTGAATCGCCAGGTCGAGAGTCAAGGCAAGGCGCAGGGAACCTGTCCTCTTTCCAGACACACACACACCCCGACACCTCTTCCTCTAACCAGCCAAACTTGAACTTGGGACAGCCCAAATTGGCTGGTTCAAAGACCATCCGGTTCAGGAAGTAGCTTGTCTACATCAAAGCCAGGAATGCAGGTTTCTTCTTGCCTGCTGTTTGTATTTATATCCCACCGTTGCGCATAAAAGGAAGCGCAAGGCGGTATTATGTCATTTTGCCAATCTTCCCCTGCCTGCCCAAATTTCATCCCGTCCCCACCCAGTGAAGTCCATGCCTGAGAGGAGGTTTGAACCCGGTCCTAGCTCAGTGCTCCTAGCTAACTGCAACACAATGTCCACCAGCAGTAGACGCCATCCCTTTAGGACAAGGCACTTCATCAGGTCACTGACTATGTCACAGAAGGCAAAACAGGGAGTGGATGTAGTGTGGGTTTTAGTATGCAGGTGCTTTCTTTGTTTTCTGGTTTTTTGATGTAACAAATTTTCTGCTTTTTGAAAAGGTATCTTCAACCCCCACCCAAACACACACACTTATTTTGGTGTCATTTCTTCAAGGATTTTGAAGATGTATAATTATGTACAAGGTTTATATCAAGCTCTTATCAGTTCCATCTAAGAATAAAGTGAGGTGGGGGAGAGTTTGTTCGTTTCTTTTATTAACTCAAGGGATTTAAAAGCAATGTCAATCTGCATCACCAGCGGCAGTAGAAATATCTTCAAGTCCTTCCTGCGTGTATGTAGATTGTTCCTGTCTCTGGGTTGGCCTGCAGTGTTAGGCAATTTCTATTTGTCCATCACTATGGCTCTTACGTTCCAACCATGCCTTACTAGGTTACTATAGATAGAACCACGTGAGGTAAGCTACCACATGGCTATGTGTCCTCTCTGGAACTCCCCAAACTGAGTTGTACCACCACCAACTTTCTTGAGAGGTTGTAGAACCATGGTAACAGCAATTTCATTGAAGTGGTTACCTACAGATAGCTGTCCATACAGGTCGATCTGTGCATTTGTTTTGAATCTGCTGTTGTATGTTCAATGGCTGTATACTGGTAAATGGGATCCACTAAATCTGCTTGCAATGCCCCTGTAATGTACACTGAGAACAAGATAGTCACTAGGCTCCTGCCCAAAGGCCGTAGCAAACCTCACCAGGAAGAGAAAACACCTTGCATGGTGCTTCCTGGCATGGCAACCACAAATAATGGTTGAAATAACAAGCCAAACAAAAATAAGCGGACTCATATTTGTGAGTCTAGTTATTGTGGTACTGTACAAAGGAGGTGTGTGTGTTGTTCATACAGAATGCAATTTAAAATCATTTTATTTAAAATCAATAGGAAATCTGCTATATAGGTATCTTGTTGCTTAGGATATTTGCTCCCCATCATTTCAGAAAAGGTTGGAATAATTTGTAAACATGTACTATAGTATTCTGCATTCCAGACTGAGTATTTCTTTTGAAAATGCCTTCGTTTTTCAAGGCCACTGATGGTGCAATACCTTCACAAGGGAGCTTTGCAAGAGTTGCTTCAATACAGGAGATCTTTTCTTACCTTGCTTTATGTGCCACTCAACCATAAATTTGTGCGATACTGGTGCATTGCTCAAGAAGAGTTAATATAGTTAAGCAATGTAATAGTTAATAGTTGAGTTACCTTTAGTCTCATTTTTGAGAAATTGATTTATAAATTAAAGGTATCTCGGGGTGCAGCTACAATTCAGTTTCTGTGAATTCCAGTGTGAACTGGCCTGTATTTCCTTGCAGATTGGACTAATTATCCTTTGGAGTTTGTATTTCTCCAAATTTTGTGATGCAGTTCTTGGCTCAATAACAAGAAACCAAATGAGTTATTTTAGGATAAAACATGTTTAGAAATGCACACAGTGAGATAAAATATGTTAAATTAATACAAATACGTTTGGCAGATTGTTTAAAAGCAAATAGCATTTTAAAGCAGGAATGAGTTTGTGAATGAACATGTGCAAAATTAACCCAGGCAGGAAATAGATGAATTTGACCTTCCCCGGTCCATAGAACCTTCCATATGCATGCGGAGAGGATCTCTGCAAGTGCACCCAAGCCCTCTTTTCCCTCCTTGCTCTGCACCTTTTACTGGTTGCACTTTCATGGTGCCATAGGTGCTGCTGCTTAGCCAGCCATTCTCTGTGGTGAGAGCTCTTCCTCTGCATCACATTCCGTTATCTGATGGCCTGCTTTTATATAGGGCCCTGGCATGTAGGCTACTCACACAAAATAGAAGAATACTTCTTGCTGGCATTATGGAGAGGACCAGATCAGAAGATAACTCTTATGTGAGGGTGATTATACCCAGCACAGTGGCAAGAAGCCAAGTTGAGAGTTGGTAAAGAGGTGGGCATCACAAAAAACAGGACCCCACATGCAGCCGCAGAAGGTCTCGTCTGGACACTAGTCTCCACACAGAAATCTCTTGAACTGTTGTAAATACTTTATTGTGTCCCCTATCTCCTGTCAAATGTAAGACCGTTCCATTTTATATGTAAAAGAACTGAAAAATGACTGACGGCCTTGTCATGTCTGCTTTAGGGGATTTGCAAAAGATTGTTGGTGGGGAATGAACACTTGGCTTAGCTTTCAGTTGAAGAGGACCAGGCAAAATATATTTTTATTTATATAGGCCTCTGGCCTGCAATTTGCATTGCAAACATATTTGAATTGATTTTAACAGATTTGGTGTTTAAATTTTTTATTTTTTTTACTGATTGTAGCTGCCCTTGGATCTTCAAAAAAAAAACCTTTGTATTTTATAGCTGTTTTGTGGTATTTTTCTATCTATATTGGGGACAGTGCCATCAGACCAAGGCATTGCCCACTGATTTATGTCATTGACACATGGTCTCAGAACTAGTTAAAGGTAGGTAGCTGTGTTGGTCTGCCATAGTCAAAACAAAATAAAAAAAATCCTTCCAGTAGCACCTTAGAGACCAACTATGTTTGTTATTGGTATGAGCTTTCGTGTGCATGCACACTTCTTTAGATACAAGAAGTGTACATGCACATGAAAGCTCATACCAATAACAAACGTACAGTGGTGCCTCGCAAGACGAAATTAATCCGTTCCGCGAGAGTCTTCGTCTAGCGGTTTTTTCGTCTTGCGAAGCAAGCCCATTGACGGATTAGCGCTATTAGCGCTATTAGCGGTTTAGCGGCTATTAAAGGCTTAAAGGCTTAGGGGATTAGCTGCTAAAAGGCTATTAAAGGCTATTAAAGGCTTAGCAGATTAGATAAAGGGGGGGGGAAGCGGAAAAAAAATCTCAAGACTCGCAAGGTATTTTCGTCTTGCGAAGCAAGCCCATAGGGGAATTCGTCCTGCGAAGCAACTTCAAAACGGAAAACCCTTTCGTCTAGCGGTTTTTCCGTCTTGCGAGGCATTCGTCTTGCGGGGCACCACTGTAGTTGGTCTGTAAGGTGCTACTGGAAGGATTTTTTTAATTCAGTCTCAGAACTGCGCTTGATGTCTTGACTACAAATCCAGAACAAGGTTCTGGATGCAGGTTTCAAACATTAGAGGATCTTCCAAAACCCAATAGTAGAGTCTGAAAACTCTATTTCCTGCTTTGTAGCAAAACACTGTAATGTACCTGCAGTTGCCTAGATAAGTAGGCAACTTGACTGTTGAACTGTGAAGAGAACTGCAAGTGATAGGGAACTACTGTAGGAAGTCTCCACAGAGATGGCAATTAACCAAAAGTGAGACCTGATGGTCACCAGAGCAAAGAATGTTATGACAAGGTCATTCTGGACCAAAGGAAAGCTTAGGCTGCATAAATTGCAGAGTTGGGAGTGGGGAAATCAGCCTTCAAAACAAAACAAAAACAACCACCCATATGATCACATAAATAAGGCATACTTCTATGCCTTCTACATCAAGTACTGTACTCAAGAAAATTCCACACTCCTCACCAGCTCTCCCTACACACCCTCTGGATCAGACTGGCAGAATTCCTTTTTCAGACACCTCTTTTTCCAACCTGTCAATCAAATATCTTGTTCTACATGGATCCGGTCTCACATTCGTGTATAACAAGTATTTTGACTGACAGCTTAGTCACCTGGAACGTTAAAGGGAGGGGAAAACCCTCCTCCAGAAGCGTTGTTTTGCACATTCTGAAGCTGCCAATCGTTTGCATCTTTTGATAGCGCTTATTCATAAGCAAGTGGAGGAGATGTAGCAGCAAGAGACTGCGTGTTTCTTCTACGCCACCTCTTATTCAGCAGATTCTCGGAGCACACAGAACTGCCTGTAGGTGTGGAGTACTGCTTCAGACCTGCACTTCTGCACCCAACAAATTGCCAACTGAGCATAGTAAAAAATAAAAAATAAGGAAGTTGCAATCACTTTTCAACCCACTTCCACAAAGGTAGTCTAGCAAGGTTCTGTACAGCTTATATGGAATGCTTTGGGATCCCTTTGCACCAGATACACAGGTGGGAAGCAATAGGTGGTGGTGGATCTTTGCCCATATCTAGTGTGCAGGTTCTGAAAGAGTGCATCAATTGTCAACACGGCACCCATGCTTTCAGCAGTCCAGCTTTTGGTGGTAATACGGTCCAGCTTTTGGCGGTCCAGCTTTTTGGTGGATTTTGAAGAGTTTGTGGTGAGTTGGATGAAAAGCCTTGAGGGAAGGCAGATGGCTAAGACATTGGGGGCAAAATGTAGAAAAGGGCACAAGAAGAAATGCTTTTTGAAGGCTTAGGTTGTGAGTTCAGAGTAAGAGTTGATTGTGTGGCTCGGCTGAAGCTTCTGTGGGTGACTTCTGCTTTTCCGAGCAAAGCAAACCATTGAATGGAGTTAAGCTTGGAAACTCTGCAAAAACTTGAGAGGTTTGCCTGTACATGCAGCACACCTCACCATGGAGCTAAAGACACCACCTACACAGCGAGTTCTGTTTTCTGAACGATGCTATCTAAACAAGGATAACTTAAACATTGAGTCATCCCCTACGTAACCAACTGATCACTGTGCCCTTCCATGGAAGGCATCCTGCAGGTACCACCCTATTAAAGAGGTTCATTTCAGAATCGGGCCAGAATGTTCCCCTTTGGAACATATCTATGTCTGCTACATATCAGAGAGGCAACTCCCCTGTTGTCATTCAGTGAGTGCTAAAGACATTCCTGTTTCAGCAAGCCTTCAAAATAGAGATCTTTACCTCTGTATCAGATTTAAAACTTTCACGTGCTGCTGTTGTTTTAAAATATATGTGTTCATTTGTTTTTTATCTATGTAGCTATTTTATATATGTTTTTATTATGCTGTGAGTCACTTTGGGATGCCTCGTGGGAAGCGACTCATAGGTGAAATAAGCAATAACAGCATAATAATACTGATCACCAAAGGGTTGGGTTGACTGTTTTGTTCCCTGTCCTGCTTGTCAGCACCTAGCTGGCTCCTGTTGGAAATAGGATGTTAGAATTGATATCTCTTTAGTTTGATCTGGGAAGACAGTTCTCCTATTCCTATGAAATACACGCACACTCGCTGAAAGGCTCCCTTTTTCTGTTCTACCACATACGGCACCAGCTTTGGAGTTATGCAAGTTTGCCCAGACAGGTTTCTGATTTCAAAGCGTACCTTAGTCATTTTCTCTGCATGTTCTGCTCTTCTGGCACTGGGCTAAGTGTGTGAAGAACTATTGTGCAAGCACCCCTTGAACTCACCTGACCCTAGCACTGTGTGTCTTAATAAAACCTGTTTCAGAAATTGAGGACACCTTTCAAAGTCCCTTTGCTGAATGATGTTTTTGTGGGGAGAGGAGAGGCATACAGCAACACCAGAAATGGCTCAGTTGGTAGAGCCTGAGATTCCTAATCTCAGGGTAAGGGGCTTGAGCCCCACATGGGGCGAAAGATTCCTTCATTGCAGGGGTTGGACTAGATGGCCCTCGAGGTCCCCTTCTAACTCTACAATTCTATGAAAAGCACCTCTTCTAGAAATCATAGAACCATGGAATTTCAGAGTTGGAATGGACCCTGACGATCACCTAGTCCAACCCCAGCAATGCAGTAATATGCAGCTGTCCCATACGGGGATCGAACCTGCAACCATGTAATTACAATGGTACCTCGGGTTACATACACTTCAGGTTACAGACTCCGCTAACCCAGAAATAGTGCTTCAGGTTAAGAACTTTGCTTCAGGATGAGAACTGAAATCGTGCTCCGGCAGCAGCGGGAGGCCCCATTAACTAAAGTGGTTCTTCAGGTTAAGAACAGTTTCAGGTTAAGAACGGACCTCCGGAACAAATTAAGTACTTAACCTGAGGTACCACTGTATCAGCACCATGCTTTAACCAGCTGAGCTATTCAGGTCTGAATCTTGTAGTAAAGTACACCAGGCCCTGCCTACCAATACTTTCTTCCTACCTCCAGTACTACCTAATAATGCTTGGGTGTGTTTCCATTCTTTTGTTTGCATATTGATCTAACCAAGTCAATTACTGAAGTTGTCATCATTCGATCGTCAGGCACACAAGGATAATTCCATTGACTTCTAAGGAGTCACACTGCTGCGTCTTCTTTCCCCATCAAAGCGACACCCTAGCCATTATACTATCTGTGCAGCTACTCTGATTCTATTCCTGATAAGTTCTACTTAAAGCTAGGCTGTGGAGTTTATTATGCAATCGCTAATCACTTACTATCACAGCAATTTGTGGAATCACCTCTTTGGGAGGTTGCCACATCGACTTGGTATGTTTAAGTTTGTGGTAACATGATGTGTGCCAGGCTTTGGCTAAAAGGAAAACAAAAGAAAAGAAAACAGGCTATGCTACTTCAGTGATTCACCATTACCCCGTGAATGTTTGGCTGCCTATGATATTCCATGTTTAGTTCTCAGCTTTTGGGGAGACGGGCCTTGAATCTTTCAGCAATAGAGACCAAAAGTCCTAGTATCAGTTTTGTCAAGATTACCGCATTTTTTGCTCTATAAGGCTCACTTTTTCCCTCCTAAAAAGTAAGTGTGTCTTATGGAGCAAATGAAGGCTGCACAGCTATCCCAGAAGCCAGAACAGCAAGAGGGATCGCTGCTTTCACTGTGCAGCGATCCCTCTTGCTGTTCTGGCTTCTGAGATTCAGAATATTTTTTTTCTTGTTTTCCTCCTCCAAAAACTAGGTGCGTCTTGTGGTCTGGTGTGTCTTATAGAGCGAAAAATATGGTAAATAATTCCTGAAGCAGTGATGATGAACCAGAAAGTTTAGTAAAAATCATTTTATTTCCATTTTGTTTTCGACAACTTTCTATTCAGATGGTGGTTATGGGTGTTGCTCAACTAAGTCTTACATAGAGTAGACCCATTGAAATAAATGAGCATGGGTAAGTTAGGTCCATGGGTGTCAATAGGTCTACTCTGAATAAAACCTGGATGCATACTATCCCAGGAGTTAAAGCTTTTATTCACAAATGAAGAGTAGAATTTTATTGTACTAAAATAAATGAAAGCTGGGAATTCTTGCCAATTACGCTGAATATCTGGGTGTTAATTTTTTCATATAGAAAAGCATCTCCTTATGCGTGTTTTAAGGTGATGCTACATTTATCTTTATATCAGCAACTTATTTTTTTCCCCAGCAGAACCTATATTTTCAGTTGAGCAGTGGGCACCTGTTGACTTATTCCCATGTGAGTGGCCACATTGCCAAAGTGCTCTTTTAACTCAGTCCTCCCCACTGTCAATAGTGACAAAAAAGCCTTTCTTGCTCACACACATTAGTGTGCATTCATTACAGAACCTGATGCCTCTGTATTTTAGTGGGCAGCTGAGACACGCACCAAGAGCGGCTGTGCTTGTTTTCTGCTCGGAAGCATCTTTGGAATGGGTTGAATCCACCGGCCACTTATTCCCTGTACAGTAGCTCTCCAAAGGTGCCCAAGGATTGAAAGCTGCAGAAATTGGCTAGTAGAAGTCCTCGTGAGTTAATGCCATGCTGCAGCAGCCTTCTTCAAAGATTATATATGAGTGCGTTCCATAATTATATTGTTTGTTTGTTTTGTTTTGCACAGGATTTGGAGTATACCCTGAATTAAGAAAAATAGTATTGCTTCAGGCTTCTTGGTCATCCTCCCTTCTCTCCCAACATATGCGTTGCATTTTGCTGTAAGTACAGGCGGCCATGGCAGATGACGATGATACGCAGCCATCCATCCCAAAGAAGTGCGGTCCGTACATTTCCTCGGTGACCAGCCACAGCCTGAACTTGATGATCCGCGGGATAGTCCTGTTTTTAATTGGTGTCTTTCTTGCTCTAGTATTAAACTTGCTACAAATTCAGAGAAACGTCACCTTGTTCCCACCAGATGTGATCACCAGCGTCTTCTCTTCAGCTTGGTGGGTACCGCTTTGCTGTGGAACAGCATCAGGTATGTCGGAACAAATGCGGCCAGAGAGAAACCTTATTAAGGGAAACATCATGGGCTTGATTCAGTCCGCAGAAGCACCATTTGGCATTTCCTCCTCCTTTCCTCCAAGACACCTGTGGACGTGAACCAGGCAAGGGTTGTTAAGAGGAACATAAGGTCTAGGTGCACCTTTTGTATCTATGGACTTCCCTGTCTCCTCTGCTCAGCCATGGAGAATGAGGTGGACAGAGAGTCACGGATGTGGGAGGTGCATCATGTAGCCCTGACTTTCTACATAGGAACCTAATGTGCTGAGAACTCAGGCATGCACATCGGAGGATATGCAGATGCTGGATTCATGCAACTGTGCTACCCAGTTACAGCTCCCCCTCTTGCTGCTTGTAGGGATTAGCTTGCTGGGATGTCTTAGATTCTGGCAGAGGAAAGAGTGCCAGGCATTCTTCATTCGTCATTGCTTCTCATGGGCCAATCTGGGCATGGCATCCCAGTGCCGGATTTACGTGTAAGCTAAACAAGCTATAGCTTAGGACCCCACTCTCTTGGGCCCCCCAAAGAAATTTAAAGGGGGGGAAACTGGATGTACATTTCCAAAATATAAGATTAAAAACAAATAAAATAAAACCTACATACAGCAACAGTGTTTTGTGTTGTGTAGGCTCCTATGATGTAAGTAATGGGGCCCCGCCTGCTAGCCTGCTCCCTCAAATATCACTGGTTTGCTCATTTCTATATATAGGGTGCCTACATTCTGCATGGACTGGTTGCATGGCAACATGTGCAAATGGCTTTAGATACCTATTAGGTTCATAAAGTACCATATAGCATATATTCAACACAAAAAACAGTGACAATTTGTTGTTGACAAAGGGCAGCTGGACATATAAAGGGCCCCGTTATCTTCAGTAGCTGAAGGCCTCATCAAACCTAAATCCGGCCCTGCATCAACCACATGACTGGCCCTAGGCAGAGAGGGAGGCCTAGCTAATCTGGACCAGGGCTGGTGGGAGGGGACGCCAACACTTTACTTCCGCTACAGTCCCAGTCCGGATTGCACCTCCCCTCCCCTGGCTGCAGTTTAGAAAAGAAAAAGCAGTCATGGGCAGACAGTTTGCATTCAGTGATCCAACTTCATTTTTTTATATAAAAAAAAATCTGATTTCAATTTCCATTTGGTGGTCCAAATTTATTTATTTTGAAAATCTGATTTATAGTAGAAATGTTCTTAAATTTTGCAAGGCAATAATTGTCTTAAGTAAGTAGCATGGTCTGCTGAATTCTTTTGTAAGCCAGAAGCAAACCAGTGATATTTGAGGGAGCAGGCTAGCAGGCGGGGCCCATTACTTACATCATAAGAGCCTACACAACACAAAACACTGTTGCTGGTGGGGGCTGATGAGAGTTATAGCCCAAAACATCTGGAGAACCCCAGGTTGGGTAAGGCTGCTGTAGTACAATGGCGTCTAGATTTCTGTGGCAGGGTAGGGTACATATCTCTCCAGCCTCCCTACCACTGATTCAGCCAATACTTTAATGAATTCAGTTGCTGCATAAGATCTTTTTATCACCGGAAACCTCTTGGCAGTGGAGTCAGGGGGCAGCACTAGGGGAAGGTTCTATTGTAAGTAAACCTCCCATAATATGCCAATATTTTCCTGAGGTGCTGCTTGTCAGATTCTGATACAGGTCAATAAACCGATCTATTGTCTAGGAAACAGGTTTTTGTTGTTGCTGCTGAAGATAATCTTCAAGGCTACGTATCTTGCATTATCTAATTACTTTCCTTTTGTACCTTTTCATGGAATTAATACACCACAGATTTCACAGAGGATTCAGATTTGAAAGGAATTGTCTGTGTAAATTGTCTGAATGTGTTGGTTTTCTTTTCTCGGAGGTGTGTGTGTGTCTGTGCGCGCTTGGAATATTTTGGTCACAGTTAGAAACTCGTTTTATCTCCAAACTGCCTGCCTGTCATCGTTCCTTTTTATTTATTTATTTTTTGCCCATCTGAAATCCTTGAGTATTTTACTGCACCATTTGCTTCATTTTTATTTTACACCTAGATTGGCAATTCTAGACACAAGCATTTGTTTGGCTTGATTGTCTTTTGCCATCCTTCTCCACCCTGGTCCCTCTGGAGGTTTAGAGTACAGCTCCCAGCATCCCTCACTGTTGTTGTTGTTGTTGTTGTTTGCCTTCATTAGCCACTTTTCCCACAAAGGTGACTCAAAGCAACTTCCAAAAATGGTACAAACTTTAAAACCGGATACAGTGGTACCTCGGGTCACAAACACTTCAGGTTACAAACGCTTTGGGTTACAAACTCCACTAACCCAGAAGTAGTTACCTCAGGTTACGAACTTTGCCCCAGGATAAGAACAGAAATCGCGCGCCGGCAGCAGTGGGAGGCCCCATTAGCGAAAGCCCACCTCAGGTTAAGAACGGTTTCGGGTTAAGAACCGACTTCCGTAACGAATTAAGTTTGTAACCCGAGGTACCACTGTATTAGGAACCCAAACAGAATGAGAACCTAAAAACACACCCATATATCGGTCTCAAACACCCCACCCCACTAAAAGAGGCCACAGATAGCTGATACCCTCCAAATTAAGGGGCTAAAGCCTGGGTTCAAAGAGATGTTTTTGCCTGGTGCCTGAAAATACATAGTGGTGGTGCCAGGCATGCCTCCTGGGGGAGAGTGTTTCACAAGCAGGATGCTATCAGTCAAAAGGCTTGCTTTCATGTTTCCACCCTCTGCACCTCTCTCAGTGGGTGCCTATGGAGAAGGGCCTCAGGTGATGAACACAGTCTGACTGGTTCATGTGGGGACAGGTGGTCCTTGAGAGTGAGCTGCATGAGGCTTCATAGGTCAAAACCAGCACATGGGTTTCCCACATTTCCTGGGGCTAATGGAAGTTCTAGTCCAAAGCATCTGGAGGGCATTCAACAAGGCTGAAGGCAAGGGCAGTGGCAGAAATTTTTTTGCTAGCATGTTTTCATCTGCGGGAAGTTTTCCATTTGTAAAAAAATATGTCGTTTCATAAAATTAACTAGTAATGTAGTGAATGGTTACCAGTATGATATCAGCCAATTTAGGGAGCGTCAGCGAATGGCAAATTTGGCAGAAGTCATCATTGTTCCTTTCGCCTTTTGTTGTTGTCATTTACAGCTGTGATTGGGTTATTGTACCCCTGCATGGATCGACACCTGGGAGAGCCACACAAATTTAAGAGGGAATGGTCCAGTGTGATGCGGTGTGTAGCAGTCTTTGTTGGTATAAATCATGCCAGTGCTGTATCCTTCTCTATGGTAATGAAGTTGGCAGCCGCATCCAAACTTTTTTCTAGGAGGCCAAGAGCTAAACAACAGCTGCCCCGCTCACTTCACCGGGATTGCACGCCTGGTGCACTCCCCGACGTGGCAGCGAATTTATTAGTTGCCCTTCCATTGCTAACTCAGGGTGATTTACAACAGTTTCAAGCTACATGTTTAAAATAACTTAATAAACACAATAAAAAATCCAGTGTGGCCGAAGAAAGCTTGGCCATAAAACAGCAGCGAGAAGCAATAAAGTATTAAGAAATAACATTCTCGTGACACAAGTGTTCACACTAATGACAGGGTGCATGTAAACTTTTAGCAAGGTGGCTATCCCAAGGAAGGCACTTTTGCAAGCCAACATTCACTCATGAGTAATTGCATACCTACTAAACAAGCATTTGAAACATCATGCCTTTGGTCTAGTCCTAAGAGGGCTGCGAATGGTCAGCTAGGGATGTTCTAGTTAGATATGATTTTCGGAAAGCTGTTCAGTGTCAGGAAAATCAGAGTTGTGTGAAGCATACTGGCAATCCCTTTGAGGCAAAACCCCAAAACAATTAGTCAGTGTTCCGCTGATCTTCTGAAACTGTTCCTTAATGACGCTCACAGAAAGTGGATTTTGCCAACAACACCCAGTTGTCCCTCACACTTGCTGCACTTTCAATTGGGCTGTGGTGGACATTTGATCGATCTCGAAGTGGCTTCGGCCTGGGAATTGGAATTGCATTTCTTGCCACATTGGTGACTCAGCTTCTCGTCTACAATGGAGTTTATCAGTAAGTGTTTTCTGTTCAGTATGGTGATTGTAATGCTAGGATATTAGAGGAGGTATCAGGGGTTGGTGCTGATGAAATACCAAAAACTATTCCGACTCCTTGCCCAGTATGTATCAATCCCATCAGAATGGATGCGGCTCAGAGGTGTGCAAGATTGCATCTGAGGTGTGGGGATTTGCATGGGCCTGTCCTTTCGGCTTTGGGACTGTGTGCTTCTACACCTGCCTGCTCTGTTTTAAAAGAAGAAATAGAAGGGGAGAGGTGTTCAAGCAGCAGGACCACAAACAGGACCCCACACTTGTGTTCCCAACCTTGCAGCAGATGCCTGCCCTCTTCCCAGCTTACAAGGCCAAGGGAAAAGCTTAGGAGTGTTTTGGCAGCTGCATTGCCAATGACCTACGAGCAGCTTAGCCAAAGCACCTAGGGCCAAAACAACAACCCTATTGCTACCTTTCCAATCTCAAACTTGGAACTAGGGAAGGAAGCCTGGCGTTACATGGAGGTGCAGCATGGGGTCAGGGGCCTGGCTGCAAGCTTTTGCTTGACTTCCAGTGCCCGATTCTGACATTGTGGGCTGGACTTCAGGTGCCGTGCTGATTCCAATGGAAGATCTGCCATCAGCTCTGCTGGGCAAGGGCTGGTGTCCCGGCCACTGCAGCACAGTGCTGCTTATGGGTCTTTTTGCAAAGCTTCAATGCACAGTGAGCAGGCTGTGCCTCGTTTTTCAGAAACGGGACTGTGTCGGATGCATTAGCACAAGCTGTTACTTGTACCAGTGCAGTCTTGAGCCCAGGCGACAGCGTCAGAGTGCCAGAGGTTTCCTGTTTCTTTGTGCATTGTTTCAGGCCTAACCATGACTCTTTATCTCTCCCTAGATACACATCTCCTGACTTCCTTTATGTGCGTTCCTGGTTACCCTGTATATTTTTTGCTGGTGGAATAACTATGGGGAACATTGGCAGGCAGCTGGCAATGGTAAGTTAGTCTGTCAGTGCTGGGATTATTTGCAGCATACTTGTGAATAATTTTGTCTACCTTTAGATGTGTGAGCCATCCTTTGCAGGCCACATCCAGATAACTGTGCTGCTGTTCAGGAAGCTCAACATACAGCAGTCCTTGTGCTTTCCAACCCTGCCATGTTCTCCACTTAAATACAGTTGCTATTCAGTTCACAGTGCCTTAAAGGAAAAAACCCAGGATGTACCTGATGTTGTCTGTGCATTAGCAGAACTCCCACATGCATAATAGGACTTCACCTTCTTAGCTACCCCTGTAAACTTACCCACAACATGCCCTCTAAACCTGATCTCGATGGCTGGGAGACCTAGAGAAGTTTGGTAGGGAGTGGGAAAGCTGCAGAGCACATGACAGGATCATGAAGTCCTGCTGTGTGAGTGGAAGTCCGTTCAACACAACGTTGGATTCAACCTGCAGATTGTAGGAATAAGGTGGAAAGCTGGGCTCCCAGAAAATTTACCATGCTGAGCTCCACTCATTTGCATCCCTTGTTCTCAATTTTTACAGTGTATCCTTTATTGTGTGTGTGTGTCATTCTTGGAGACACTTACCACTTAATTTATGTGTTTTTATTTTGTAGTACGAATGCAAGGTTATTGCAGAAAAGTCTCATCAGGACTGAAAAAGAGCAAAGCATACCTTTCTCAAGGAGGATGAATGACAGACCTGGAAGAACTGGCACCAAGGAGTACTTTATAGTGTTTTCAAAACAGTCGTCGCCCTCTCTTGTGTCTTCTTCTGCTCTCACTCGCTGTCCCCCTTGGCCTGTTCCACCTGCAAAAGACACTTTTTACTGCAATCTGTGATTGCTACATCTGTAATTCACTTGAAAATCCCAGCATCTTGGTATCGGATCAGTGTGAAATTCTGCTGGAATGCAACATGCTGGACAAGGTGTTGGTTTTTAGATAGGAGCCTTTACTTTATAAAGTAAGCTAGTCTTGCCATATACCATCCTCTTATTTGCATAATGTTCCTGTGCCAAACCAAACTCTCTCTCTTTCTCTCTCTCGGTTGCATTCCTTTTTTTACCTTTCCCTGGACAACTTGGGGGATTAAATGTTATTAGAGTGTTTCTATTTTATTATTCATGCCAGAGTGATGTAAAGGTGGCCTGAAAAGGCATTGAGGACAGTAAATCACAAATATAATTCAAGGCTATGACTTCACTTGTCCCTACCCCACCCCACCCAAAAAATCAACAGGTTAGTTGTATGTCAGGTACAGTTACACACAACCAACTTGTTCCGTGTCATGGGTTGATTGTATATTGGATGTAAAACCAACCTGGGCCATTCTGCATACGTACAGGTGAGGCTTCTGCCGCAGTCATGATGTCTGTGCCTGCCATGTTCCTTTGTAAATAGGTTCATTCTGTTGTAGGACTCTTCATGCAACACTAGCAGTAACACTGCTGCGAGTGCAGACATGGCTGAGATGGAGTGATGCTACTGAGACCACCTGAAAATAAGTCATCTGTGGATGATAGATCTGCTGTGGAAATAGGAAAACCCGAACTTCTTTAAATTCAGTGAGATCAGCCTCTGTTTACTTGTTGGAAGTTTCACTCTTGCACTATATGCATAAGCGTGGATTCTCACATGCATTCTGATGATAGAAGACGCAATCTGCTGTGAACTTCTCCTATGCATGCCCCATTGAAAAGAATGGATGAGTGGATAATTGTCGTATGCTACAGCAAACGTGAAAGGATCCCAATAGTTCAGGGATTGGGAGCCCCTTACCCTTCAGGTGTTGTTGAACTCCAGCTTCCATCAGCCCCAGCTATCATAGACAGTGGCCAGGGATGATGGAATTTGTAGTCCAACAACATCTGGCAGGCCAGAGGTTTCCCATCCCCGCATTAGATTGTGCTTGGTTAAATAGACTCAAAGAAGGCCAGAGTATGATGCGACCTTGACACACTCTTCTTAGAGGTGTCCATTGAGGTTGGGGGTGTGGCAGAAGGGAGAAATGCCTTACTTGTAATGAAGCCCTAAAGTTGTTGATTCTAAGTAAAAAGAATAAGTTGAATCTGTTCTAAACTTGACCAGTTTCATTACTTCTATTGTCGTTCATTTAGCTTTAGAGAGCTGCTTATATTCTTTTAAAGAACATTTTCTTTTTAAAAGAAATATTCTGTAAAAGGTTTTTTTTAGAAAATGTGTTACAGTGACTCGAAAGGGCTTGCTCCAAAGAACCGATGTGTTTAGACAAAATGTTTTATTTTTCTTTAATAATGTATATTGTTGTGTTCATAAAAAAAATTGTGGAACAGACAAACTAAGCAGCGTTTTTAAGGCTTGCATGCTAATATATGAAGAATATGCAATGAAAGCTTGGGACAAAAAGATATCGGAAGGAAAATGTGCAATCAATAAGACTTAAAGAAAAGAAAAAGCGCAAAAGCAAATAATATGCAAAATATCAGTAGCTGAGACTTCCCACTTGGTGTTGTAGCTTCCCACCGCAGCACTGAAATGTTTCCAGTGTCGTCCTATGGACTTAATGTTACGGAGAAAGCACTTACGCCTTAGTGTATCTCCTTATATGCCCTTCCCCACACTGAAATGCAAACACTTTGTGTATATTTATATGATTTAATTTTGAAGCATTTCCTTGAATGGTACAAATGTCACTTGGGATTGTGGAGATACCTTAAAATTAAGTCAACAGAGAGCTTAGTATTCCAGCATAGCTTGTAAGTGCATCCGTGATCCTGCTGATTAATATTTATGGGTCAACCCAGCTATTTAAAGTGTTCGTTAAAATTGTGGCATGAGTATATTTTGAAGGCTTAAATCTGGCAATTTGGCTCTTGGAAAACGAGTGACTAAATTAGGCAACAGACCAGTAAGATGTGTGGAGCTTTTTATGTGAACTGTAGAAGAGATCTCTTACTTAGAAGTTTCTAGTCATTGCTTGTATTCTCCAGGGCCTTCCCATAGACAGGTGAGCTTGGAGCATATCAGCAGAGAGTTATCAAGGAGATCAGCTTCTGTTTCACATGTATAGTCTAGGGCAACTCTTGTTGGGAGTAGATGGTCTTGGGAGTATAGCAGGTCTCTCGTTTCCCACCGTCGTTGTTTTTAAATCTAGTTGACACGAAATGTGAAAAGAATTATGAAGGCATGAAGAGCAATTGTGTGGTACCTCAGTTCACAATATGGCATGTAATAGCTAAAAAAGATGGCTGTTCATGGCTATGCTAATTGAATGCTATGAATACCACTGTATTCTGTAACAGACTCTGCAAACTTTGGAGGACTTAACAGATTTGCCACTTACAAATCTTGCTTGCTTTTGTGTCATGTGTTCTTTGCACCCAGCTGTAATGAGGGGGGAAAAAACAGTTTTCATCCACCTTGCTGAAGTTCACATGTGGTGTTAAATCTTACATACATCTTCATATCTCATCCTTTGTATATTAACATAAACATGGAGATTAAAACCTTTTGTATATCATAACTACTTACCAGGCATCCTTGTATACCAGGCCTTGCACTGTTTGTCAGTCAGTGATAGATGATAACACATGGTAAGTTTGAAAATGCCACTTCAAATAAGTTCAGTGACTCTTCCATGTCTTTAAGCCAATGATGCAAAGTCACCCCAAAGTCATTCTTGTGGACTACTGCTTTTCTGTTGATGAGTAGCTTTTCGTTTAACAAAACATGCGTTGATTTTTATGTACCTACTAGCCAGTACTAGAATTTTGGGAGGAGAGGTTTGTAATGGGAATGCCTTAATTACAGTGGTGGGAAGAAGCAGCTACTGTATAATGTGTAATTATAATATTAGACCGTCTTCAAAATGTTCTGTAGAGGATGACTAAGATATATTTTAGATACAACTTTATAAGCACTATAAACTCTTCACTAGTTGTGAATTGTAAAGGTTGATGATGTTTACTTCAAATTGCTGTTAAAAGCAAAACATGTATTAAATATAATTACAGCCTCGTTGAACCGGTTTCTTTTTCATTTTTCAAGAAGCAATAATTGATAATTATCCTGTTTCAAAGATCAAATTAGAATGCTGGCTGTTGGAGCGCCTTAATGGTTATGGAACACCTGTGGAAATGCTACAAGGAAACAAGCCCGTTAATACACATAAATCAGAAATGGCCATGAGTCAAGATGATTGCAGCACGATTGGCCCCTTTAAGATCCAAACCCTTCCAACTATGGTGAGGGCAGTGGAAGTGAGTGAAGAAACAAACCTAACAAAAAAAAAAAGGTACATTGGAAAGGGAAGAATGAAGAGTATCGGGACAATTTCATCTAATAAAATTACTTTCCTCTTCCAAATCCTGACAAACAGAGTCGTAATTAGTTTGTTTTGAGATAATTTAATTTCCAGTTATTTTGTTTATTGTAGCGTTGAAGGGCTTCAAATAAGTTATATATGGAATAGCAACACAGTCCTCTCAGATGGGTCAGTGTTGTCAGTCCCATGTTGCAGTTCAAATGTGAGAGTGGTGTCTGAGGAGGCAGGCTGGCTCATGAAGTCATGGCTGAGGCAACCTTGAATCGACAGCAGTTCTACTTTGGTGTACCTGTATACAACTCCCATCTTCCCTGACCATTAGCTGTGCTGGTTGAGGCTGATGGGAGCTGGAGTTCCAGCAACATCTGTAGGGCTACAAGTTAGCAGCCCCTGAACTAGAGGCTTATGGGGCCACAGGTCCCACTTTCAGCCATTATGCTATACCAGTGTTGTCTTTCTTCAGCAACTATCCACGAAGTTCTTCGTGTAGTTTAAAACAGCTTTGTTGGAAATATGCTGAGACATCACATTTAGTACAGCAACCACTGCAATTGTTTTCGTTTTTTAAAGGTTCTGAGCAATTACTGTGCTAGCAAAGTAGCTAGATAAAAGGATTTGGGTCAGGTTGAATTGTACAAACTTAACATTTTTGTCCTCTTAAACCTGGAGGAAGTTTGTTCTCTCTGTGGTTTGTACTGAACATTTTTTTATGTAGTGGTACCAAGTCATTAGCAACATATGTGATTGCAGATCCATCTAGTAAGTATGGGACTGCAGAGCGTGGCGTCTGTTGTCTTACGGCATTTCCCTATGGGTGGATGTTTGCACAATATCTCACTAGAAATGAATTCTCCCTGAGCACTGGCTTTTTTCAAAGCAGGCAAGTTGGATGTGATTTCAGTCAACAGCCAAAGATTTTTTACTCTTCTCACAAGCCCTGCTTAAATCTAGCATTTTCACAAGGTGGTTTGGATGAAGACGGTAGCTTATATATAGTTTTTTAAAGTTCACATCTCTACCACTGCCTCTCCTACGTGAAAAATCTTGGGTGATATGTGCTACACTAAAAGAATGTTCCTAACCTTACCTGTAAAAATGTCCTTAGCCTTTTGACTCCCTTGAAGTACCATAACTAGAAAGGGGACTATGGTAGAATGGTGTCATGGGAATAGGTCCATTTAAGAATCCAAAAGAATTAAATAGATAGTGAATGGCATATTGCCATCTTTAAAATGTATTCTTCTCGGCAGTATATCCTGGTGACAGGGATACCTAATGCTGCCATAAAGTCAGTGTATTCTCAGGGGTAGTAGCTGTTCATGGTAAAAAGTTTTCCTCATGAAACTTCTGCAGAGTCTGAGACAGTGTGCAATAAATTATGGCGAAGGAAGACAAAACCCTCTCGGGATACAAGGAACGGGCAAGTATCTTTGGGCAAAGAAATATTTCTTTTGTGTTACTTAGAGGCACATTCTGTGGTGTTTCTCACGCTGCTATAGGGGGAAAAAATCCTAAGGACAATTTCCTTTAAGGCTATACTTCTACAAATGTTTGAAACGGAAGAGAAGATGAACAGAGCAAGTACATAAATAAGCACAAAGTGAGTTGGCCGGTCAGCTAATTGACTCTGGTGCCTTTTTACCCAAAGGCACAGAGAGTAAGAAATTAAAACATTCCAACGCAGCATAAAATAACAAAGATGCTAATTACAGGTCATAGCTTGTTGTTCACATTCTGGAACTATAAAGGTGTGTAGACCAAATTGCACAAGTTGGGCAATTCCATAATTCATCTTAATTTTTTATCCTCATTAAAAGTCAGAGGCTGAGGTTAGAGGCAGACCCTTTCCTGCTTTAGCATTGCTCATTTCTTTTTCTCCTTGACTGGAAAAGCAGGTTGATTGAGATGGGGTGTTGTGTAGATAAATTATGTGTGAAAGAATTAAGCATCCCTCTCTCTTGCTGATCCTCTCCCAGTGTGCCAAAATCTATCCTCCAATTTCTGAAAAGTTTTATTCCTCGGGGGGGGGGGGGGAATGTCCATTTTTTTCTGCCTCAATTACCTGGGCATTTCAGAAATTCTTTAGAATTTAAGTCAATGTGAGATATTGAGTTTACCGTACCTTATAGTTATGAGTGTGTGTTTCTTTCTTGTAAATGTTCCTCCAGCATTCTGCCATTTCCTTGGCTGCCAACGCTTCCTGGTCTGAAAAAGAGTCATGGGGGGTGTTGCCTTATAACAGGGGTCAGCAAACTTTTTCAGCAAGGGGCCAGTCCACTGTCCTTCAGACTTTGTGGGGGCGGACGGCGGACTATATTTTTTTTTGGGGGGGGTGAACGAATTCCTATGCCCAACAAATAACCCAGAGTCACAATTTAAATAAAAGGGCACATTCTACTCATGTAAAAACATGGTGATTCCCAAACCGTTCGCGGGATGGATTGAGAAGGCGATTGGGCCGGATCCAGCCCTCGTGCCTTAGTTTGCCTACCCATGCCTTGAAGCACAGACACTTGAGAAAGCTGACCACTGGCGAAATGATCTGTAGAATAAGGTTAAAGGAAACTCACAAACATCTCTTGGCCAACTGAAAAGCAAGGCAAGTGCAAAAGTAAGTAAGTAAGTTTGGCTTTTACTCACTTAGTTTTATCTCAGTTTTAATGTATGTTTGTAAATCACATTGAACTACTATTTGCAGGAAAAGCGACTGATACATTCAGAAAATAATAAACAACCTCCAAAAGTTCTACTACATCCAAGTGAAGAGAAATCATGCAGGTTTGCTTCTCTATTTCACAAACTTTAAAGAAGAGTTTTCTTTTCAAAGCCACTTTTGCCACAATGCCAAGCCCAGTAACTCTTGCTATTTCAGCTACAGTGGTACCTCAGGTTACAGACACTTCAGGTTACAGACTCAGCTAACCCAGAAATAGTACCTCGGGTTAAGAACTTTGCTTTTGGATGAGAACAGAAATCGCGCGGCGGCGGCGCGGTGGCAGTAGGAGGCCCCATTAGCTAAAGTGGTACCTCAGATTAAGAACAGTTTCAGGTTAAGAACGGACCTCCAGAATGAATTAAGTTCTTAACCCGAGGTACCACTGTACTATTAAATAGTGGCTTCTGCCATGTAGGTAATGCTCATTTGAAAACAAGCTTGTATGTACCTTTTCAACTCATACATTCAGGGGGAAAATCCCAGGATTGACAAGATTTTTCCCTTTGTTCATCCAGTACAATTAAAACAAAGAAAGTATTTATTATTATTTTTATTCATTATTTTATATGATATTATTCATTATTTTACAGTGGTGCCTCGCAAGACGAAATTAATCCGTTCCGCGAGAGTCTTCGTCTAGCGGTTTTTTCGTCTTGCGAAGCAACCCTATTAGCGGCTTAACGGATTAGCGCTATTAGCGGTTTAGCAGCTATTAAAGGCTTAAAGGCTTAGCGGATTAGCTGCTAAAAGGCTATTAAAGGCTATTAAAGGCTTAGCAGATTAGATAAAGGGGGGGGGAAGCGAAAAAAAAATCTCTAGACTCGCAAGACATTTTCGTCTTGCGAAGCAAGCCCATAGGGAAATTCGTCCTGCGAAGCAACTCAAAAACGGAAAACCCTTTCGTCTAGCGGGTTTTCCGTCTTGCGAGGCATTCGTCTTGCGGGGCACCACTGTATATGATATTATTATTCTACATTCTCTTTGGGAAAATAAGCAGTTTTACTTCAGCATGGGAGTGCAATAACTTTCTAGACTTTGTAATATCTGTAAAAAAGAAAAAAACTTTGGTTTGCAACTAATATATTTAGGGCCAAGCAAGATGATACGAGAAATGTATGCTTGCATTTCATGTCTTTTAAGAAGAAATTGAATGGATGGGAGACTATCTTTCAGGACTGGGGCTTTGGCGCCAGAGAAGAAGCATCGCACCTTCCTCCCTACACTGTGATCCTGATTTAAAAAGCAACCTCCCCGCTTGGCCTAGTGCAGTTTGTGCTGGAACAGAAGTTGCCGCAGGTAGGTTGGAAAGTTGCAAAGCTGTAAGTAGTCTGATACCGGAGAACCAGCCATTGGAAACGCTTCACCTGTTTGATTTCTGCAGGCACAGTTGCTGATCGAGGTGCAGGTTAGGAACCGAGTCAGTTAAGAAGTTGGCAACAATAAAAAAAGAAAAGAAATTAAAGGCATGGAAGACAAAGGACCTCTGAGATGGCAGATTTCTGCAGCTTCTTTCTGGGGGTTAGCAAGGGCCCCATAGCAACGTTTTGCAAAATGTAATGTAGTTAGACAGGGACATGCACAAATTGCAGTAGATAATTGACAGCTGAATTATCAGGGAAATGGCTGCCATTTTTTAAGACGCTGGGGGTTAAGGGCTGCTTTGAACCTTAATAAGCCTTGATTGATTTTGTAAATAAGAATCGCAGTTACTCTGTTTACAGCGAAGGAGCCGTTTTATTGCCGTAGCAGCAAAGATTACCCTGCTCTGAGCAGCGATATTGAGAGCGAAGCGCCATCTGTCCTGGAGAATTTCTTCCCTTTATGAACAGGACTTTCTCATGGAAATTAATTGAATAACAGGAACTGTGCTTATTGTGTTTCGCCGCTTTCTTCTGCAAAAAAGGATCTGTTATCTTACAACATGGCCCCTGTCATATCATACCCAAATTCACTCACCATCAATTCTAGTTCCGGTTCACACAC